GATGCATGAGGAGACAGCTAGCACTTCGTTCCTGTCATACGGCGTAGGTCGACAGATGAGCCGAAAAGAATTACGTGTTGATTTGTCTAGAATAACCTAACTTACATTCACCGGAACAACCGGGTGGGAGAGGAGGGCTCTACAGATCAAATGCACACGGGGTGATTGGGTGTGAAGGGAAGGAGGGAGGGCAGGCGATGTGTAGGCGAAGAGAGCGAAGAGGAAACATGAGACTGAAGTGGCTGCAGCATGCCATGTTGTGTTTAGTGCAGGCTAGGTCGCAAAGACGGGACATTTCGTGACATTCAGTAACACGCTACTAGGGTAGGGAGAGCAAATGAGTAGTAGAGTTCTAAAATAGAAGAATAAAGAATTCACGTGATAAAGAGAGAGAGAGAGAGCGAGAGACAGAGACGGAGTAAGTACTGGTTACGGTGACGTAAGTGTGCAATCGGGCAGGCGAGATTGGATTGGAGACGCGACAGCTTTAGTAGGGGAAACCAGCGTGACCGCCTCCGAGAGGGGCACCCGTGGGCGGAACGGGAACTTGAAGGGCGAAACCATTGTGCGGATTAATACAGACGGCGGCGCCAGGCACAACGTCAGTGGAACTGGAGGAAGGTGAATTGCCGTGCATGTTCTGCCGATGAGTTGGCGGATGACCGGTGGGTTGCGAGAAGAGACCCGAGGAGTGAGGGCTACATCCATGGAGGCCACCAGTCATCGCAAACTGATTGATGGAAGAATGAAATTGGTGAACAGAAACAGACTAGCGCTTGGAGGAATTCAAATGGATGCCAGCCGAACCGCGAGGGTTACAAAACACTTTAAAAACCGAAGCACCCTATTGTAATAAGTGGATATGAGGAAGTGTACATGCATTTTTTTACAAAAGTAAGTTCGACTAGTGTTGCAACTTAACGAAAAAAATACTATTTAAGTAGTTTTTGATCGAATGGCATCAGGTTACATACCCTGCTTTAACTTTGTTTAATCAGTACGCATGGGCATCAGCAAAGTAAGAGTAAAATCCCGGGTTATATTTTAAGGGAGTGGTGTTAGAATGAGAATTTTTCCTTCCACATGTGCAGATAGTATATCCATTGAGCAGCATAGTTAAACAGGAACCAAACATTAAAACTACTTAAAACCTTAATAATACTACGTTTCCGTTGTATCTAACTATGTGCTGGGTAGACAGTTTCATTTTACTTTGTTTTCAATAGTTGTAAAGAACCATTAACAGTAGACTAAATTGTTAGTTTTATTTGTTTTCGCTACATGCAAAAGGTTTTCTACATTACTATCGTTTAAGTACTACAGGTTTTTGTGGTTACGTGATTTGGTGATACTCACAAGCTATCCTTGTCCTTTAGCCAAATGAACCTTCAATCTTAATGTGCCTAGGTTTCGGAGCTTCAGATTCGGTAATACTACACATTTATGCACGAATGCGCGCACAGCACAAATACTCCTTTCTATAATGACAGATGAGTAACCTTTCTGCAGTCCGCAGTAGTCCGCATACCCTAGTCTTCTACTCTACCCAAGAAACGTGGCAACAAACACCACACTGTCATGAGGGTTACTCGCAGAGGTAACTCACATTGTGATCAAATGCATTGATTCCACCATGCGGTG